CCCCCCCCCCCCCCCCCCCCCCCAAACCCCCAAACAAGAAGGCAAAAAAAAAAGCAATCGTCCGTCAAGGACTCCAGGCCACATGCTGGCCGGGTCTGCGCAGAAGACATGCACACATCAAGATCGACTCCGCTCTCGGTCCAACAACGATTTCAGGTCGTGATCGTGTTCGCCCATTGTTGCTCTGCTCCCTCTCACAATCATCAAGACCTGCACTTTGGGACCCCGATCAGAGTCCATGTGAGGTCGTGATTCTATTCGTATATTGCTTCTCTCCTCCCTCCCCATCTCTGTTGTATGCCAATCCAATCACGTTAGAATAGTGAGTGGCATATCTACTGACCTCCGCACTTTTTCCAACCATCCTTTTTACACACGAGAGGCAGAGAGAGAAAGAGAGAGAGAGAGAGTGAGAGAGCGAGAGAGAGACAGAGAGAGAGAGAGAGAGAGAGAGAGCAACACACCTCTTTCGCGCAGTCTACCGCTCCCACAACAATTTGCCCAGGGTACACAGCTGATGGAGGGTTAAATAGCTTTGCCACTCGGTCATATTCTGGCTGCATCAAAACAGAACAGGGCCAATTAGAGACAGAATCACCTCCTCAGTCAGCTAACATCACAAAAGGGAAAGTGGGATTAACCCTCAAAGGAAGGAAAAGAAAAGAAAGAAAGAAAAAGAAAAGAAAGAAAGAAAGGAAAATAATTTAAAATTTAAACGCACCATTGAACAGACAAGACGAGAATCTTGGGGTTGTCGGTGCGAAGGTGGGGCGATGGGATGGGACGTGTATGACGCTATATACTTTTTGGACATCCCTCTTTGCGGGTTCTGCTCTTTCGCGTGACCTTGTGCATGCCGCTTTGTGTGATTGTGCACCCTGTTTTTGCCCCTGCCCCGGGGTCGGATCGAAATTCTTTTCTTTGCCAAATTAAAAAATAAATTCCAAAAAAGAAAGGGATAATTTGCAAAATATCCCCATAAGTTGAAATATTTGCCAAAATGCCCCTGAACGATGTGGGTAGAGCGGCTTTTTGGGCCGAAATCTTTGCGTTGTGCCCCTGTCAGGTGGGTGTGCAACTTTGCAATCTGGACCTCCCCCCGTTTGGGCCCGGTAGGCCTTTTGCAATAGCGCCGCCCAGGAGAAGTTGGCAAGTACTAGGGGGGGGGTGCATTTTGCAAAGTTGGACGGTACCCGGTAGGGGTATATTGCAAAGATGGGGGTCCAACCGATGCTAGGGGTATTTCACAAAGTATTTTTTTTGTTAGAGGGGCATTCCGCTCTACCCACATCTTTTAGGGGCATTTTCGCATATATCTCAACTTATGGGGGTATTTTGCAAATTATCCCCAAAAAAAAAAAATCTTTTATTTTTTAATTCATTTTTGGCCCGGCCGGGGCAAGTGGTCCCGGGCCCCACTCTGGTCAAATAGTATATAAATAAATCGGGGAGGGGCTGCGACAGACTGTTTCCACACATGAAGTGTCAGCAACTCATCAGGAGGTTGAACCCTCCCTCTTCCCCTGAATAGAACGTACGGTCGTTATAGCTGTATTTGGGCAACTTTCAGTCTAGATAAAGTGATAATGACCCTATGTTTTATTCTGGAGAAGCGGGTAGAGCAAGAGAGAAGAGAGAGAAGAGAGAGAAGAGAGAGAAGAGAGAGGAGAGAGAAGAGAGAGAAGAGAGAGAACGAAGGAAATCATGTCATGAACGCACCAGTTGATATGGCATCACATAACATGCTGTCGCGGGGAAAAAAAAAAAAAAAAAAAAAAACAGAGAGAGCGGGGATCAAAATGTAGGACATAGGTTTCGGAGAGGCCGCGAGTCCCTTGCAGCGCTAATTTTGCGCTAACACAGCGCAGCGTTACCAGTTCCGGTTTTCGGGCGCGGCACTAGACGGGCTTAGCGCTCTAAGAGGACTCAAGGCCCAGGAGTGTACGGTGGATGGCGCTGGGGCGCTCTAATTATGTGCCGCCAGGTGGTACTGGCACAGCCATCGCCGGGTGACGTCACCATGATGTCCACATCGAACTGGTCATCGTGCTCAGCATCTTCCGAGCGTTCTACACAGATCGACCATGTGGCTGCTCCCCTTCAACACTTACACTTGGTGTGTATACGATGGTGCGAAGAATGTACAGATGCGATTGGTGTACGGGTGTGGGCCGTGCTCGCGCCCGCCACTGATGAGGTCAACTTAACAAGTTTTTTAGTAGGGTAAACATATTCGGTGTTTCATACAGTATCTCTCAGGTGGAAGCCACCGAGAACAAGAGTAAGGAGCTGAGTTAAACTGCAGGAGTTATGGCGGCACAGGCGGGCCCCTCTAGACAACAAGAAGGGAGGGGTCGCTCCCCTCCCCGGCCACGCAGACGTTCCACTATCGGATGAGGACCGGATGAGATTACTAATCTCCAAATGCTATGACGATGGGGTTCTGCCGGAGAAGTTTTGCCACGGCGAATGGGTACTGGAAGAGGGTGTTCGCACATTCATGGTTAACACCCGTTTGGATGAATTGACCACGAATTTGCTAAAGGAGAGGACAGTAACTATTATATTTCAAGGAGAAGCCAGAGACCTCCCAATGAGAGTCAGAGAAGACCTCATAAGAGCATATGAGAACGGCTGGTATCGGCAATAGGTGTTCGACCAGAGCACGAAGAGAGGAAGGGTCCACGCGGAGGGACCGAACGTAGTCTCCTACGTAGCTCCGTCAAAGGAGATAGTCCAATTGATGGTGGCCAAGGCGGAGGACGTCGTGACAATCAGAGGAGTGGAATACGGCATGTTTTTCAAGCCGTGGCGGCTTACTCGTGCAGAACTGGAGGAACGAAGGCGCTTGGACGACGAAACAAAATTTTGGGTGATCGCCATCAGAGTTCCACTGAGGGCGATGTTTCACATGGAGAGCATGGTCGAGACGGCTATGGGACACGTAATCAACAGCCAGCCGCCAGAGCAGGACCGGACGCGCCCAAAGTTAATGAACCTCAAATTTGAACTCGTGAAAGAAGCCGAAGGCAATTTTGAGCCACAGCTGCCAATCAGGCTGGCTAGGAGGTGCTGCGAATAAAGTTTGTGTGTAAACACACGCCGTGGTGCGAGCGATGCAAATGGTGGTTCCACACCGCGGAGGAAGGTTGCCCCAGAGCAGATGAAGAGAAGTCGAGCGATACAGGCGGACGGCAACGAAATACAAACCCGTCATCACATATAACGCAGAGACCGGAGGCAAACCGCTACATTCGAGCAGCGGCCAGACAGGACACAGAGTCCATCGCAGGCAGGGGTCAGCCTTCGTCCAGCGCCCACAATGGAACCAACAAGGGCCGCCTCATCAGGAACCTCGTCTAGGAGGGAAGGATCGCAGCAGCAACGAGATGGCATGAAGACGGCAGCCGGCAGAGCCCATCCGCCAGCCATCGTGAGAGTATCAAGGCAAAGTTTGTCACAAGACGTTAGATCAAGACCGCCGAACACAGCGGCAAGACCCCCAGTCCCAAGCGGGTCCCAAGGACATCAGGTCCGAGTGGATTCAGCTCTGATGATGGGCCCAGCGCAAGGCCACATGCACATGGCGAACAGTTTTCAGCCATATCTACCTCGTTGGGGACCGACCCACTCGCAGGGATACGGCTATCAGCCCTTCGGAGTCAATCCAGCAGAACTCGGCTTACAATTTCAGGGACCATTTGGTATGGGCCAGGTTCCATATTACAGCCCGAACCTCAACGCGGCTAATTACAGATTTCAGAGCCAGACTGGGTTGCCAGTCGCTACAGGGCCGGGCTACGGAGCCGGACTACTAGATTCAACTGGGAGAAGAGGAGCCCTGAGGGAGTCTACGGAGCAACAACGTGGAGAGATTCAACCTCCTCTTCAGGAGCAACAGGCAACCCAGGTCGAAGAGGAATCAGAGGCCTCCGGAGACGAATCGAAAGGTCAGGGGGACTCACCAAGGCTCTCGCCCACCTGGTCGGAGTTGGAAGCTACACAGGGGATGATCCCCGAAGACCATGAGGTTCATGGACGAGTGGCAAGAGAGCGGGAAGAACACATGCTTCTGCCCTCGGTCTGTACTCTTCAAAACTCCACTGCACACCTAGTCGGCCTTTTAAATCAAGAAGAGAATCTGTCTCTTCCAACAGCTGGCCTAACGGAGCTTCCTATGCCTACAATGAACACTGACAGAGTGAGATACTTGTTTGCAGACCGTTTTCCCTTCAGAATTTTTCAAAAATTCTACATGCCGAAGTTTCGGGTAGTTATGGAAGATGACAGCATCATCCATTACACAGTAGTGTTCATAGATGCCCGCTTTACCTCAGATCAGTGGGAAGGATTGGATCTTGTCGGACTAGGCTCGTTCCCACTGGAGGCTCTGACCAAGCATCATATGAGATTCTTTCCCGCATCCTAGTGGGACCAGGAGTAGCAGCCACCTTCCTAGCTAATCTTCACCCCAATATGCCACGCACCTATAATTTGATATCAGGTCCCTTCATTCGATGTTTAAGTATGGATTGGGCGGATATGGAAGTCTTCAGTGAAGAGGACACCCGCCTAGCCAACCCGTCTCCCGCAGGAATCCAATTTGCTCCCACTGCCCCAGCTGCCAATGGGTAGACTGCGAATAGCAGCACATAACGTACGGGGCCTAGGGGACTTAGGGGGGAGACGAAAGGGTAAACGCTTTAAGACTTGGATCCATCACGAGAGATTGGATGTCGTGATGATGCAAGAGACCAAGTCGTCAGAGACCAAACTCACCCAGTTACAAGACTGGTGGGCTGGCCCGCAACTCTGGTCTCCCGCAAGAGACTCTAGAGGGGGGGGTCGCAATACTTATCCACAGTAATATAGATGCACAGCTAGTCCACTACGACAGTGACGCGTGGGGTCGCTGGTGCTGGGTAAAGTTGATGATTGGAGGGACGGACTGGTATTCGCCACAGTATACGCCCCAAACGACTCGAGTCATAGAACCCTGTGCTTGAACACACTGCCCCACGTCTTGCCTAGGTTCGGCCGCCTAATCATTGGCAGCGACTGGAACCTGATCTGCAGCCTGAGTCTGGATTCGGAATCAGTGGGAAGAATGACTCCAGACAAGGCTAGACTACTTAGCTGGAAGGAGCATTGGAATCCGAAGGATGTATATAGAGAGCTTTACCCCACTACTTCGGGCTATATCTGGTTTGGCCAGACACCCCAGCAGTCCGGAGTGAAACGGAGATTGGACTTCTTCCTGGTTTCAGAGGCAGTCAGGGACAGTGTAATGGATGTGGAAGTCATGAACGCTCCCTTGTCAGATCACAAGCCTTTGGTCATGAAGTGCTCATTAGCAAAAGTGGAGGAAAGGGGTCCAGGGTACTTCCGCCTCAACACTTCAATGCTAGCAGATGTTGGAATTACGACATGGGTATCAAACTTCTGGGCAGACTGAAAAGAGGCAAAACCGGTCTTTGAAAGCACAGCTGAATGGGTGGATGCGGGCTTGAGAGTCATTTCTCTGAAGTTGGACTCCTTTTCTCGGATTTCGGCCTTC